GGACCTCGCGCTGTCGTCGTGTCGTCTTTTTGGTTCTAGATGTTATCGTCACGGAGCTCGGCCGGTTCCGCACTGCTGATGATATCCAAATGTGATGCACAGGGTGAACGTACTTGTGGAGATAATAATCTCCCGTCCCACCCCTTTCGTGCCAAAGCGTGAGTGCAACCCTTTTCTCTTAGTGAAATGCGGTTGTGGGGGTTATAACCACCTTTTGTTTTTTCAAAACAATATGGCAACCCCACAACTCACAATAGGTATCGGTGTATTTTCGATTTTTCGAAACGTGTACGATTTCAATACCCCACCCGAGGGGTTAGCAACTCGAATTTTAGGTCCCGCGGACCTATCCGTTCGCGACGGCGGTCGGGCCAGGAGTGCGCGGCTCGACTGGCTGCATTGCTGAGATGGAACGATTCGGTGTTCTTGACGGACTGCTCGAACGCTGCTAGGCGGAGTGGTCAAGGAGAACTGGAGGTGGCACCGTGGTATCTGCTCGATATTCTGATGTCCAAGCTCGACCGAATGGATATGTTCCTCTGATCAAAATTGCGCGTGCTTATAAAGCATTAGGGCGGACCGAACACTGAGCGCTCGCGCTCGCTGACGCTGATTCTCAAAAAGGGCCCCTAATTACTCTTGTGCAAAAAATGATCTTTTTTGATGATCTCTGATTTTGACAAAACTCGGCATGATTGAAGATCAGAACGTTCTGATTCTTAATCTGCAATTACTTTTTTGCTAACTTGACGTTTTCGTGAGTTAGAAAGCGCGATTCGCGACACCTCCCCACCTATTGTGAAGTTGTTTGGGGTGCGTTTTTACGCAGAGCCTTTATTTTCACAATAATAATGGTTTACATAAGGTTTCAGTCGCATAATGCTTACAAAGCCTGCAAGAGAAAGAATGTTCACAGAAACAGTTCAATGGTTACAAAAATGGTGTACATTTCTATTCAGTAACATCTTACAATCATTGATCTGGTAGTTGCAAAAATGCACTAAGCATTCCTATTCAGCAACTTTATATTGGTACAAACAGTTTTCCTGAAATCAACCAATCATTTTTGGTTTCCTTAAAAGTACCCTAACACGGAACTATATACAACAGTGACAGATGCTCTGATACCTGTCAACTGCAAGGACGAACTATCTCTAATATTTGCAAATGGCTTCTACTCCCGTGAGTAGCAATCTGGTTGTTGTCTACCGCGGTTTCGCGCACACAAACGCACTGTTTCACTGCACGGTAAACTAGGACTTATTTTACAACATTGTTACAGTGAAAATCAGAGCTCTATCGTGGTGATGGTGTATGGTGAGCGTGAAAACCATCCAAAACACTTCATACTCCCCCCCCTCGGATAGTTGCATGGCTGGTTGGGCTCTACGTGTCCAACTTGAAAAAGTCGAGATATACAGTTTTCGTCACTAGTCTAGGGTGAGAACGGAAGATCTTCAGGGAGAATGTTTTGAGACTCATCCTCGTCCGGGCGTGGAATGAGGATGTTTCGGGCCCTAGTTTATTGCTCTACATCGGTTTTTCGATGGTCTGAGCTCATCTACGTGGAGTTGCGCAACCCCATTATCGTGAAGTACCCCATACGTGACGTCATCGAGTAGTTTCACGACTTGATATGGACCCACCCATTTTTTTGCAATTGGTTCATTTCGACGTTCGCGCATCATGACCTGGTCTCCAGGCTGAAATGAGACAGCGGGGGGGTCAGTGGCGTGCGGGAACAAATTCCTGGCGTACACAATCTGTTTTCGGCGCGCGTTCTCGCGCTTTCGCCGAAGTTCAGCCGTCTGCTGGGCACGTTCGACTTGGAAATTGGGATGTTTCCATTCGCCGGGCCTAGGGAGGGTGTAGCCAGTGACATACTCGGCCGGGGTGATTCCCGTGGCGAGATTCGTCCTGTTTCTCAATGCGAAGAGTATGCTATTCAAGTCTCTTTCCCAGCTCGTGGGCAGTGTTGATGACATCACTCTAGCTCGTATTGCCTTTTTCAACTCCTGATTCTGTCTCTCCATCGGATTCGCTCTCTGGTGATATGCCGATGAGATACGGTGTTCAATGCTGTTCTTTTCAAGATATTCGACCCACTGTCTACCTTGAAAAGTGCTGGAACCATCTGTGATCACGAGTTTTGGGTATCCCCATCTCGTGCATATGTTATGCAAAAAGCTAACGGCTGTTTTTGAGACTACGTCTGGCTTGGGTTCGGCCTCTACCCATTTACTCGCAATGCAAGTACCCACGAACAGGATCGTATTTCCTGTTTGGGTCCTCGGGTAGGGCCCCATGGGGTCAATACTTATAACTTGAAAGGGTCCCTGAGGAAGAATAGGCCTCTGGGGGGCGGCTGGCTGTGCCGCGTCTGGTTTCGTACAAGTGCAGACTAGACAAGCGTGTACGAAGCGTTTCACTAGGTCCTTCAGACCAGTCGCGTAGTACAGTCTAGTTGCGGACTTATATGTTTCCAGTACCCCAGGGTGACAGGCATCCTCATGATCGTGGAATCTATGGATTAGTCGGGCAAGCTTATGTTTCGGAACTACAAGCTGCCTAGCGTGACTACCCTCCACGGACGGTTGTTTCCACAAAAGATCATCCTTAACCTCAAAAGAATTCCAAAGTCGACTCTCCCATGGTTCCAAACGTTCTCTTTCCTCTGGTGTCAACGACCTTAGCATTTCCCAATGACTAACCGCGTCCTTCACCTCAGGACAGTCTTGTTGGGAAGCTGCAATTTCAGCGAACAGATCGTCGCGCTCGAGAAGAGAACATGTTTGCGGACTAGCGCGGTCTGATTCCTCATCAGACTCGGTTTCAGGCGTTTCCTTACAGTCCGGCACCACTAACCGGCTATCATCCGGTTGTTGGCACTGTATGTTGGCCGGGTGTCGCGACAAGTAATCCGCCAACTCATTATCCTTGCCTTGGCAATGATGGATTTCAAACGAGAATTCTTGCAAGTGAAGAGCCCACCTCGTTAGCTTAGCTCGTTCATCCTTGAACTGGTTTAGCCAAACCAGAGCTTTGCTGTCGGTTACAAGATGGAACTTTTTCCCTTCGAGATACGACTGGTACATTTTACATGCCCATATAACCGCCAAGCATTCCTGCCCATTGATGTGATAGCGCTGCTCAGCTGGCTTGAATTTAGCGCTGGCATAACTGATCACTCTCTTTTGTCCGTCCGCCGATTTTTGGTATAGAACGCATCCCATGCCTTGCTTAGAGGCATCAGTTTGTATCCAGAAGTCTAAGTCGTTCTTAGGCCTGTACAACTGTAAGGGTTGGGTCATATTGTCCTTCAAAGTTTGGAACGCAGCCTCAGCTGCCTCGTTCCACTTGAAAGGGTTTTTGGTGGAAGTGAGGTCCGTAAGAGGGCCGGAGATGTCCGCGAAGTTCGGTACAAACTCCCTCAGCCAATTTGCCGTTCCTAGGAACTGTCGCAACTCTTTCCTTGTTTTTGGTCGTTGATGTTCCGTTATGCGCTAAATGACAGGCTTGGGGTCGGTTTATCTCTTGCGAGATTACGAAACCTAAATACTCCAATTCTTTCGCAGCAATTGAGCATTTCTCGATGTTCACCGTCAGGTTATGCGCCCGAAACCTTTCCAAAACGAGATGAACGTGTCTTTCGTGATCGTTCCAATCATTGGAATAGACCAACACGTCATCCAGGTAGATTTTCACGAATTTATCGATATAACCCGCCAACACTTCTGCCATGAGGTTGGTGAAGGTGGCTGGGGCATTTTTCAGCCCAAAAGGCATCACCGTAAACTCGTACGCTGCCCCGTCGGGTGTCACGAAGGCCGTCATATGAGCGGCACGTTCGGACATCTTTACCTGCCAATAGCCAGCTAACAAGTCCATGGACGTGAAACATTTCGCCTCTCCCAAATCCCGAATGGTTTCGCGGATATTGGGCATTTGCGTGACTTCATCTACTGTTATCGCGTTCAGCTTCCGATAGTCCACGCAAAATAGAACTTCCCCATTCTTTTTACGCACCAAGACAATAGGCGACGCGAAGTTGGAATTGCTGCGTCGGATGACTCCCTTACTAAGCATCTTCGCAACTTCTGCCTGTATTATTTGTCTTTTTTCAGGTGTGTAAGTGTAACGACGTTCTCGGACAGTGATATTGTTTCTCAAAACAATATCGTGACGGGCGGTGGCTGTATGCGCCATCCCCCAATCTGCAACACTAGTATTCTTACGACGGGCCTGGTATAACCCACGTATACCACATGATGCATATAATCCACTATCGCTTGTTCCGCCAGATGCCAATCTACCCCTAAGATCATTTGATCTTTTAGGTTCGGAAAAACGTGGAACGAATGACAAAACGATCTATCTTGAATATTGAAATTCAACTTAACCTTTCCCAAAGTCTTGACGGAACTTCCAGCTTCTGCAAGCTGGATTTCTACGGATTTGCCTTCCACCCTGTATCCTTCTATCACATCTGGGTGTATGAAAGATATGGACGCCCCACTGGCCAAAAGGGCCCAAATCCGTTTCTTTTCCGCTTGGGCTTGGAAACGAATGAGTCGCGGACTCGATCGTTTACTCTCATTCCCCACGGAAAGTGATGTCACTTTCGACTGGTCGGGGATCGTGTTTGTCAAGTTACGTTTCCGTTTTCGTCGCTTTTCCGATTTGGCCTAGATTGACAGAGGTCCGACGAGACGGCTGCTGGCTCAGCCTCTCGCCGATTCAAAAATTTAGGGTTTCTGCAATTTCGATTGCATCAAGGTCCGACCGTTCGCGACCTTTGCCCTTTTTCCTATAGGGTTTTCCAACCTTTGCAGGCCCTTGACTAGGGGAGTGGACATCAACCATCACCTGCTGTTGGATCCGTTTTTGCAGCCGCTTTCGCTGAAGGGTTCTGCTGTTTGGAATTATTCTGTTTAGGACGCCCCTCATTACGAGGTGGTTCAGTCTGCTTTGACCGTCCTTCAGACATAGGACTTTTCCTA